TAGAACAAGAAAAAGAATTCAGAGGACTTGGGAAACAGAGAAGACTTTGATGCTTGGCAAAGAGAGAGACTTGAGTTGCTGTTTATGAACCTGATCTCTTGTGTATATATAGATGAAAGAGTATGGCCTGCTACATGAAAGGAGCGGTCTCGAGGAGCAGAGATGGGCTCCATTGAAGGATACTAGCTTGTGAGAAATCAAAACATAACATGGGTTGTCTTCCTACTCACATAAATCATCTCCATATGCAAATGACCAAACTGTATCCCTATGTACAAACACCGTTCCCTACGTCTTATTTCATCCAGTAATTTGGTCTAAAGATTGATTATTGGACACTTAGCAGGTCATGCATACATATGTAAGTAATATATAATTACAAGATTGATGTGGTCTAAACATTGCTAATCTATATGGGCAGATATGTCTGAAGCCTGTTTTGTACTTCAAAGAAGTCTTTTCTGTCCACATATAAAAAGTTTGTAGGTGTCCAAACAATTGTTGGGCATCATGTTCTCCAACAAACGTACAGACTTAATAACAACCAAGTTCTTGAGATTGAGATGTAAAACAGACCATGTGATCCCTCAAATGCTTATGCCTCTTTCCAATCCCCACCCAATTGTCTCCATTAAACTCTGTCCACATTTATTTTCCTCTACACACCCTTTCATCTATATATATATATACACACACAAATACATACTGATGATCCCATAAACAATTCAAATCCTCAGTCTTTACAAACATGAAATCTACTTTTTGTGTTTTTCTAAAATCTTTTTGGGTTTTAGAGAGAAACGAAACTGATTCCTGATTACAATAGAAAGGAGTTAGCTTTATGTAGCTCTCATGTGCTAACAGTAGTTCTTAACAGATTTGTGACTGAACTAATATAGCTCACAACCTAATATTTAATTTATGATGAGTCTCCTGTTTTATCTTGTATTTGTTTCTGAGCGCAAAGCATGATCTATCTTGATCAAGGGCATGTACGTGGCGTGTACAACTTCAACAGGCATGGGAAGAATATAGAGCTAGCTCTGACTCTTAAAATTAGATACAAGAGTACCACATGGAAAGAAGGTTGAAAGATATAACTGCTTATAAGAACTTACACGAAGCATTGTAATTGCCCGGCCTTATAGCGTGGGCTCGTAACTAAGCAGGGCATTAAAGTGATTGGGTATGATGGAGTCCAAGCTGAGTGGATGAGGTGGTTGTCATCTAAGAACGCCCGATAGCATTGTTTTGCTATCCCAGGCCAATAACACAATGACATGTGGAAAAGTTATTCTACGTGTCACTGCGTTAGAAATTAAGAGGATCCTTCCCAACCACCCATCTCCATTGGCCTCTGGGAGGCCTATCTCCAATTTCAAGTCAGCCAATTCTAAGAGTGTATTATGCTCTCAAGATTTAGAGACCTTTATTTATAGGGAAGCCAAGGGTACATAAGTTCAAGAAAACAACCTATAGTACCCATGGTTTCCATATGGTGAGGAATCTGTGTGCCACTGTAGTTGTTTCACCGCATGTTTTGGCAATTTTCATAAGGAAAGGATAAGGACAAATTTTCACTTATTATTAAAGATAATTCTAGGTTTTTATAACATTAGAAATTTTTTATTTTTTATAGAACATACATTAGCAAAAATATGCTTGAAAATTAACTCACATATTATTATTCTCAAATTGTACTACCAGACACGTTTTCACTGTTTTTATTCTCTGAATATGTTTTCTAATTAATCTACCAGACGCATTCTTGAATCCTGAAAATGCAAATTCATTTTCTAAAATTGAATTTTGGATTTTGGGGATATTAGTAACAATTTTTGCTCCACTAAATAATTGAATTGCATAAAACTTAAAATGAAAGTTACTGGTATGTTAGATATGAAATCTAGTTTATGAATTAGTGAATAATTCCTCATTCATTGTGTTCAAATTTTCAATTATTGCTAGATTGGGAATTTTTGAGTTTTTATGGACCTAATTTAGAATTTTTAAGATTAAAAAAATCAAAATAAAGGCCGAGATGTATCGCAGAGGAAAAGGGAAAATATAAAATATACACAATGGTTCATGGAATAATAATGAAATTTGATCATTTTTGTCAATACTTATCATTGTGGGGTTGCTGAGAAGATTTTCTAGTGGACAATGTGAGAACTTGATTTAGCTATCTAGTTGATCTTACGTTGAATGGCGCTAGGGTGTCACTAGTACTGTAAAGATGATGAGTGAATTTGAGACTGCTTGTGGACCAAGAAATCTAACTTCTAACCAAGCCACCGTAAATCAAGTGGAAGGTAATTTGGTATAAGTTCTTTTCTTGACTTACAAGTAATAAGACTTGAATTCTTTGTATTGAATAAAATGGAAATGAAATTAGAGAAATCTAGCGAAGATGTAAGAAATCACCAGTACAAATTGATGTAGAAGACAGATCCTGCTCCAAAATATATAAAGTAAAAATGAGTCACTGCCTTCCACTTGATTATGATCTTCCTTCCTGGACTATGAATGCTATTGGGCTTCTAATTTGTTGCTCCAAAAACCCATTTACCGCAACGGGCCTTTCATCGGGCCTCTATAAATTCAGGTCCAATCAACATTTATATGGAGATGAATGCGAGATTGGAAAATCCATGAAATCTGCAGTATGTGGTGTAGAGGATATTTGGTGTGGTGGGGATGAATGGGGAGACATATGCATATGAAGGATCACATGGCTCTGTCTTCCACAGCGTCAAGAATTTGGCAATGATTGAGACTCTATATTTGTTGAATTGTGTTTTAGTTTTAACTAATCTGAAGTCCTTGCTAGGACAGGAAGCTAGACAAGTTGCTGACTCTTATATATCTTTATGACAGTATGTTTGTAAATATTTTGTAGTTTGTTAAATAGAAAAAATCTTGTCATGCACCTATCAATAATACATTAAGTTTTTTTTTTTTTTTTCCCTCAGACAATTTGTTTTTCTAAGGGTTTTCAAAAATTTAGTTAATGTAGCTCAGGCAGACCTTTCTTTTTCTTTTTTTGGCATTCATTAAAATAAGAACCCCTTCTGCCCTAGACCCTACGACCTACACCAGTTTATGCAAGCTGGAATATTGTCCTCAGAAAATAGGGATATTTAGGCACCACCCAAAAACAAAAAAGAACCAAGAGCTCTGCAATTATGCGAATAGACTTTGGCAAGAGAAAATTAAGGTAATAGCATATTGTCATGAAACAAATTTTTGTGTCAGGAGTTGATTTGCAAGAATGTGTTTCATCAAAATTTGATAACTTAGGATCAATCAAGCATTAAAAATGCCACTGAAATGGGCATGATATTTCCCTTATAAGACTGTGTCTTATTGGGAAAGGATCCCCCAATCTGTATGAGGAACCATGTAAAAAGTTGTATGGTAAGCATTTTAGTCGAATTCTTGTGCACACCTGCTGCCATTTGGGGGTTAACTACATAACAAGAGCTACAAGAAGATAATACTATAATGCAAACTATAAGACAAGAAAGGATGAGGATTTCAAATAGATTGTATATTGCTCCTGGAGAACAACAAAGAAGTTTACGTAGGTTTGAAAGACAGAATTTGACTGCCTTTGGGTGGGGGGATGATATTTGGACCAATGGTTCTAGGGAGTTCATGATATCATCACTTGTCTGCGTCATAAATTTCTATGTTTCTGCTCAGCCCAGAAGCAGCTTCAGGATTTGAGAAGGTTTGCTTTCACCACAAGATGTGAGTTGATTCCATGGATGATCAGTGGTAGCCTCTTCTTCATCCCAACTCAGTGAGTTCTGAAATGAGGATGCTTTGGATATGATCATATCCAAATTCTTTCATCTTGGCTCAGTGAACTCTGAAATGAGGATGGTTCGGATAGAATGGATGACCGATTCGCGTTCACTCACACACTTAAGCGGGAAGTGAGATCAAGGAAGGTGTTTTCACTGCAGGGGATTGTGATACCTCCCATAGGATGATCATATCCGAATTCTTCTTCAGCTTGACTCAACAAATCCAGGAATAAAGGCTCATTCAAATATGATATCGGAATCACAAACCGCTTCTTCTGGCTCTCTCCAACATAGACTGCAAAGTAGCCTTTTGGGATATCTAAAGTCTTTGAATCTGCTGTCTGGCTTGAACTAGATAGAGATCGAATGAGACTTCTCTTTGCATTAACAATTGCAGGCAACCGGAAACCCATGGTCTTATATATTCTCAAATGACAAAAGAAGAAGAGAAGGAATTCAAAGGACCTGGATTTGGAAAGCAGAGAAAGCTTTGAAGCTTGAGAAGGTGAAGACTTGAGTTGCTCATGATGAACTTGGTCATGTGTATATATAGATCAAGGGTATCCAAAAAATCAACAGCTACATGAAATGATTGGTGAAGAGGGCACTGAGATGGGCTCCAATGAGGGACACTTGATTGTGAGAAATCACATGGGCTTGTCGTCCTTCTCACGTAACACATCCTCGAAAGATTTCTCACCGAACTCTTCCCTACCTCCTCTAGGTAACAGACAACAAAAGGACCACCAGAGGTGATTCAATTCAAAAGAATTATGTCTGTTAGGTAAGTAGCATTTATGCTTGAGACATGGACTTCTGTTTGTTCACACTAATTCAACCGACCACATAATCGGACTAGTTTACTACAAAGTTTCTTGATTAGGTCTGCTAATGAATTGCCCTCTCACTTCATCAAAAGACCAACAACGCTGCATATGTTGTGGTCCTACCCAACACTGATACAATTGTGTTGTGCGGTGCTAAATAGCTTGCTTGGGAGCAGCAAGGCACCCTATCATGTGGCTTTGTAGTTTTGTCTCTGATCTTCAGTCTCAGCAAACAAAGGAGGTATTTATTTCATTTTGTTAGGCCAATCTGGACTTAACCAGAAGACAGTATTGATTTAAATAGTTGACAGTACTTGATCAAGAAAACTGAAGTTAATAAATTGAAGTTAAGCTACTCGGTCTAAACTCAATATTTTAAAAACCATTTTCCATTACAACTCTTGGTTTAGCAAAACCATTGCCAATCTTTGTTTTAGGCAAGTTCGGCGAAAAGCCTACTACTAGACAAATCTAGAAAATTCTAGAGAGAAGGAGAAGCTAGGTTGATAATCTCTTCTTGCCTTTGCTTATGGCAACAACTGAAGATATCTTAGAGGATTAATATTTATCATTTACTTGTGATTGATTAGAATCTTGCATTTTACCTTTGTTTGGATTCAGATACCATACAAAATAACTGACAACAACTTTGTTCTGCAGAAAAATAAAAGACAAAAAGAAAAAAAAGATGACATGATTAATCTGGTTTAAAGAGTGCTAATCTGTTGATTCTGTTCCTGTCAAGAAAGTGTGGACATATGTGAATGATGTTCTGTATTCAAATGAACCCAGTCACTGAAATCAACAAGAGGTTTTTCATATAAATTTTCAAGTGCGGTTCCCCAACAAATATACCAACTTAATAGCTACCAAGTTCTTGAGATTGAGATGGAAGGCAGAGTCATGTGATCCTTCAAATGCTTCTATGTCTCTTGCCAACCCCAACACAATTGCTTCTATACAATTGTTTCCACATTCCTGATTCTTTTTCTGTCCACACCCTTTTATCTTCCATCTTTTTGATGATAGATACGATCGGGCTAGTATGACTGGTCATCATCTATTCTTTGTGACATACATAAATATGGAGTAAATCAGGAAAATAGTCATGTGTGATCCAATGTAAACTTGGCTTTCACTCACTAGTACAGGGAAATTCTTGCGTATATATTGTGCAATTTTTTACCCAAAGAACCTTAGTGGCTCGGCTCAGTGCCTCGTTCTATTCCCTCGTGATGACTCTCCTTCTCATTATTCTTTCAGGGTAAAGATTCCCAATAGAACTGAAAATATTTTATTTTGGAAAGAGGATATCACTAATTTTGGATGGCTGGAATGTTAAAAAGTGGTGTACTTCAAGTTCATGGTTCCATTTGGCATGAGGCACCATGGATATAGGAAGTACTAAGTAAACCATTATACTTTTTTTTAGTAAACCACTGATGATTTTATTTTATGACAGAGATACAAGTATAATGAAAAATAAGAAAAGAAAGTGGATCGGGATTTTAATTTACATTCCACTATGAATGCTATTGGGCTTCTAATTTGTTGCTCCAAAAACCCATTTACCGCAACGGGCCTTTCATCGGGCCTCTATAAATTCAGGTCCAATCAACATTTATATGGAGATGAATGCGAGATTGGAAAATCCATGAAATCTGCAGTATGTGGTGTAGAGGCTATATGGTGTGGTGGGGATGAATGGGGAGACATATGCATATGAAGGATCACATGGCTCTGTCTTCCACAGCATCAAGAATTTGGCAATGATTGAGACTTTATATTTGTTGAATTGTGTTTTAGTTTTAACTAATCTGAAGTCCTTGCTAGGACAGGAAGCTAGACAAGTTGCTGACTCTTATATATCTTTATGACAGTATGTTTGTAAATAGTTTGTAGTTTGTTAAATAGAAAAAATCTTCTCATGCACCTATCAATAATACATTAAGGTTTTTTTTTTCCCTCAGATAATTTGTTTTTCTAAGGGTTTTCAAAAATTTAGTTAATAGCTCAGGCAGACCTTTCTTTTTCTTTTTTTGGCTTTCATTAAAATAAGAACCCCTTCTGCCCTAGACCCTACGACCTACACCAGTTTATGCAAGCTGGAATATTGTCCTCAGAAAATAGGGATATTTAGGCACCACCGAAAAACAAAAAAGAACCAGGAGCTCTGCAATTATGCGAATAGACTTTGGCCAAGAGAAAATAAAGGTAATAGCATATTGTCTTGAAACAAATTTTTGTGTCAGGAGTTGATTTGCAAGAATGTGTTTCATCAAAATTTGATAACTTAGGATCAATCAAGCATTAAAAATGCCACTGAAATGGGCATGATATTTCCCTTATAAGACTGTGTCTTATTGGGAAAGGATCCCCCAATCTGTATGAGGAACCATGTAAAAAGTTGTATGGTAAGCATTTTAGTCGAATTCTTGTGCACATCTGCTGCCATTTGGGGGTTAACTACATAACAAGAGCTACAAGAAGATAATACTATAATGCAAACTATAAGACAAGAAAGGATGAGGATTTCAAATAGATTGTATATTGCTCCTGGAGAACAACAAAGAAGTTTACGTAGGTTTGAAAGACAGAATTTGACTGCCTTTGGGTGGGGGGATGATATTTGGACCAATGGTTCTAGGGAGTTCATGATATCATCACTTGTCTGCGTCATAAATTTCTATGTTTCTGCTCAGCCCAGAAGCAGCTTCAGGATTTGAGAAGGTTTGCTTTCACCACAAGATGTGAGTTGATTCCATGGATGATCAGTGGTAGCCTCTTCTTCATCCCAACTCAGTGAGTTCTGAAATGAGGATGCTTTGGATATGATCATATCCAAATTCTTTCATCTTGGCTCAGTGAACTCTGAAATGAGGATGGTTCGGATAGAAAGGATGACCGATTCGCGTTCACTCACACACTTAAGCGGGAAGTGAGATCAAGGAAGGTGTTTTCACTGCAGGGGATTGTGATACCTCCCATAGGATGATCATATCCGAATTCTTCTTCAGCTTGACTCAACAAATCCAGGAATAAAGGCTCATTCAAATATGATATCGGAATCACAAACCGCTTCTTCTGGCTCTCTCCAACATAGACTGCAAAGTAGCCTTTTGGGATATCTAAAGTCTTTGAATCTGCTGTCTGGCTTGAACTAGATAGAGATCGAATGAGACTTCTCTTTGCATTAACAATTGCAGGCAACCGGAAACCCATGGTCTTATATATTCTCAAATGACAAAAGAAGAAGAGAAGGAATTCAAAGGACCTGGATTTGGAAAGCAGAGAAAGCTTTGAAGCTTGAGAAGGTGAAGACTTGAGTTGCTCATGATGAACTTGGTCATGTGTATATATAGATCAAGGGTATCCAAAAAATCAACGGCTACATGAAATGATTGGTGAAGAGGGCACTGAGATGGGCTCCAATGAGGGACACTTGATTTTGAGAAATCACATGGGCTTGTCGTCCTTCTCACGCAACACATCGATCCTCGAAAGATTTCTCACGGAACTCTTCCCTACCTCCTCTAGGTAACAGACAACAAAAGGACCACCAGAGGTGATTCAATTCAAAAGAATTATGTCTGTTAGGTAAGTAGCATTTATGCTTGAGACATGGACTTCTGTTTGTTCACACTAATTCAACCGACCACATAATCGGACTAGTTTACTACAAAGTTTCTTGATTAGGTCTGCTAATGAATTGCCCTCTCACTTCATCAAAAGACCAACAACGCTGCATATGTTGTGGTCCTACCCAACACTGATACAATTGTGTTGTGCGGTGCTAAATAGCTTGCTTGGGAGCAGCAAGGCA